TGTGTGTGTGTGTGTGTGTGTGTGTGTGTGTGTGTGTGTGTGTGTGTGTGTGTGTGTGTTATCGTATCTGTTCATGTAAGAAGAACTAAAAAAATATGTGAGGGGGAACAGATTGTATTGTCATTGTAAACCACTGTACACTTGTCTCTCAATAAAAATATGAAAAAGAAAAATGGGACGTAGTGTAAAGCAGGGCAGGGTAAGGGCTGATCATTTTTGTCATTTACACAGTAAAAAACATAAAGGTTGAAAATGTATTATAGTTTAACAACTTTGGTTGAGAAGTTAACAATTATATTTTATGTTTGTCAATTTTTTTGTCCATATCAACTTGTGTTTAAGTCGCAAACACTAACAGGGGAAAAAAAGCCTGCCTGGGCTTGTTCTTGTCTAATTCCAGTAGCTAATCGGGAACTTGTCCTGACTGAAATTCAAAGTCTCCTGTTTGATGTCATGCTTCACAGTGCAGTGGAATTCATTATTCCTTTCCTGAACCTCAGCCAACACAAGCATTCCCTACCTGTTTTGCTGACACTGGGAAACCAAGTGAGTAATGAATGCCTGCACAGACACTTTCTCCTGTCACACCCCACTCTGCCTGCTGGGTTAAAAAAAATTCCACTAGAAACCCTCCTCAAACCTTCCCATTATCCCCATTATAAAAATGTATTAAAATATATTTGTGATCTCCTATTATTATCTCCTTTCAATACAAAATAACCTGCTTTTACTCTCCTTTAAATCCTTCATACATCACTGTACTGTGCACTCAGTTACCCGAACACCTGAAACCACACCTTCCTCTTTTTATCTTGATGAGACAGATTCACACACACTTCCCATAATATTTGAAAGCAGACGCTCTGATCCCAATGGGTGCCACAACATGTATGTATTTCACAACATGTGCATATTCTACCTCTGACATCTGTGTGGCTGTGGTGCCCCTCGCCCCCAGCATCAGCATGGCGAGGGCTGCAGAGACGCTGAGACCAGAGTAGAAGATGTTTCCAGTGCTGTCCTCCTCACTCAACGTTTTGAGCATAGCCAGAGAGAAGGCAGTGCTAGCTTTGGATACAGGGACTGATGATGCCATTGTATCTAAAAATAAATAAATAAATAAATAAATATTAAACTGATGTCATATATCAACGTGTTGATACAGGTTGCCACTTTTTTCTGCCACTATTTTTTATATAGTAATAAACAATCAAGCTTTTAATAAAGTTCAAAGACTTACAGCAAATGTATGCACAGCATTTAAAGAACAGACACTTCTTTATAAATTCTGCATTTCTTCCTGGTATCCTGAATTTTAGCTTCTGGGCAAAATCCTGCCTGATTGTGATCTGTTTAAGGAATGTCCTCAAAAACCAACAATCCAGGAGCAATTTGGTGGCAATCTGTGTGTTTTCCAATGTGATGAAGCCAAAAGGCAAAGTGATAACAATGCAGCTTGGAGATAATCAAATTAATATTTTGGATCCAGGAAACTCTTTAGATCTTAGTCTGATCTATAATCTATGATCAATCCTTAAAAGTGCAGTGATGAGGCAGGGATGGGTCCTCATCAGTCAGGATATAGCCCAGACGCTTGTGCCAGGAAGAATTTCAGAAGATAAGAAGGGTCACATTTGATTTGTTTCCCAATAAAAGAAACTTATGAAATGTTTATGATTCTCCATCAGAAACATGTAGAGAATAAGCTGAATAAAAAGGGAACATGTATGAAACACAAAATTTGCACCATTCCCAAAGTTTTTGTCAATGACTTTGGACAAAACTTATTTTCCTCATGATCTCTTCACTTACCTTTAAATCTCTGTTGGTCCCGATAAACTGTATCAGAAGGTATGAAAGAAGAGCTGTTAGTCGCGTAAAGTCTGACCGTTACCTTTCTCTGTTACCTTTCTTATCCTCACGCTCCAGTAACAATGATTGACATCCTCTACTTACTGACATAAAATCTTCCTCTGACTCAAGGAATGATCCAGACTGTTTCAGTTAAATGACGCAGTTTTTAAGCCTTCTCTGACACACCCAGGCTCATGTAGGTGGCTTCAGCTTGAGAAATGATTAAGAGCTCACACCCATTAGTGAAACATGCACCCACCCTGATGGGTGCACATCTAGTGCCAATGGGTGTGTCTTGGACCCGTTTCCTCAAGTTACCCTGAAAAGAAAAAACTCATACAGAAAAGGGATGGATGGATAAATGGATGCTAAGAAGAAGACAAAGTGCAAGTAATAGTTGATAGTTTATTTAATAATCTTTAGAAGCAGCTCCATACAAATTGTTCTTTGTTTACAATGTTTATATGTGAGGTGTGTTTGAGATACTGTGCAAATGAGTCACATTTTCCACATGCAGGAGTCTGTCTGGTGGGTAGGTGCGTGATGACCAATCATACAAAGAGATCATTACTAAAGAAGACATTGAAAGGGAAGCTCTTTAAAATTTTCCTCGTTTAAATTAATCACAGAATGACTGATCCAAAAAAAAAGAAGAAGAAAGACTGGAAGCGCTCCAGTAGGTGCCATTTGAAAGGACTCTTTTGTCCATTTACACTGAAAATATTTGGATAATGTTTGATGTATTCTAAACCATATTTGCACACATTTTTTTTCTCCCTCTACTACATGATGACAAAAATGACAAAGTGCAAAATGTCTTTGCGGTTATTCACCACAGTACTCTGACTTATTTCAGAATTCAAAAACATCCTTACCCATAACCAACCACACTGATTTGCATAACATAATCTGTTATGGTGCAAGCTTTAGAAAAATAAGTTTGTGTGTGTGTGTGTGTGTGTGTGTGTGTGTGTGTGTGTGAGTGTGTGTGTGTGTTGTGTGTGTGTGTGATTTTGCTACATGATAAGTCAAAGTGGACTTGGAGAGTTCATTCTCTGTGTCAACCTATGTGGCACGTTCAATGACATTGAAAAAACAACCATGTGGTCATTCAGCTCGTTCCAGGAATCAGGTATTTCTATGGAATGATTCTTCACAGGTTTAAATTATTGACACACACACACGGAGGGGGAGGGAGGGAGGGAGGGAGAATGCTTTCAGAAATATAAATGATTGTTTATTGGTCCAAAATGTATTCTGCAGCAGGACAATGACCCTAACATACAGCCAAAGCCATTAAGAACTATCCTCAGTGTAAAGAAGAAGAACAAGTACTGGTCTGGCCCCCACAGAGCCCTGATCTCAACATCATCAAGTGTGTCTGGGATTACATGAAGAGACAGAGGGATGTGAGGAAGCCTACATCTACGGAAGATCTGTGGTTAGTTCTGCAGGACGTTTGGAACAACCTACCAGCCGAGTTCCTTCAAAAGATGTGTGCAAGTGTACCTAGAAGAACTGATACTGTTTCGAAGGCAAAGGTTGGTCACACCAAATATTGAGCTGATTTAGATTTCTCGTTTGTTCATTCACTGCATTTTGTTGATTGATGAAAATAAATGATTAACACAAAGCATTCCTTGTTTACAGCATTTTTCCTACCTGCCTAAAACCTTTGTGTGTGTGTCTGTGTGTGTTTTCTGATAGTACCTGTTTCAAATCCCTTTAAGTCTTGTGTCTACTTTTTTGCTGAGGAATTACATTTTCTATATAGTATTAAGCGTGTTACTGCGCACTCTACTGGTTATGCAAAGGTACTGCCGTCATTGTGGTCAGAGTTCCAGCATGCTAACATGAAAACACAGAGGGAGGAGATACGGCGGCGGGTAAACAGCAACGGGGCAACTACACATTTGGCTCTATGTCTGTAGTAAACATATTTTCGGACAGAGAAGGATATCTGGACTCCTACGGTAAGCGAAAGACCTTTTCACTCGGGGTCATCTTAGCTTTGCCCACACATGCTCTCCGTCTTAGCTCGCTAGCTAACCTGAATGTAATGTGATACATGCCCGGTTCTTTCAGTGGGATGGGGGACGCACCAAACACGGTTTAAAACCGGGCTATTTAACTGTTGGTTTGTTTATTATTGGGAAAAATGCTACCAGGAGAATAAAAACAGATATCCGACGCAGTATTGGTAATTCTTGCTGCATTCGGCATTCAATTGTTGTTGTAAACAGCTATTATATCAGTAAAATTGTTGTTAGCGTACTTTGTATTGTAGTGAAACTAACTAGTGTTAGCTCATGTTAAAGTGTAGCTAACTTTGACGGTGAGAACGGTAACGTTTTATAAACTGTACTCTTGTGGTTTTCTGATAGTAGTTCTCTAAACTGAAAGGCGGGTTAACACTATTACACGACCATGTTTTGTTAATGAAGTTCTCAGAGCTCAGAAAGGACGTCGTGAATCGTAGTCAATGCGGTTAGCTTGCTTGCTAAAATAACATAGAGGGTAGCTAAATCGTTAGCGACTTGGTCTAAAAATGGCATTTATGTTTACGAAGCAGGGCAATTACATTAGAAAGCCCGTGTTTTGTTGTAACGCTGGCTGCCGTCCCAGAGTTTTCGCCGTGTTTCACCAAAATAGCAGCAGGACCTTGTCAATTAGTGAGAGCCATAAATGACATGTCTCATTGTGTTTACTTCTTACATCTATCCTTTCATCCTCTTTCTGCTGCTGAGTTATTTTTTCCCCACTTTTGCCTGCCAGATTTTATTTATAATCGCTATATTTTTACAGCGTATATTCCCATTACGAGTACGTCAGTAGTATTCTTAAACGCTCTTCATTTGTACTCCTATGGAGTGGATTGACTGGTTTCTGAGCAGCTCTGAAGCTGAATTAACACGAACAAAATAGACAGGTAGCTGCTGATTTCTCTGGCCTCTCTCTTTCATGAAAACCAACATGCAGCTCTGTTTCATTCAAGTTGACATGTGAATCTAATCTTTACAGGCTTTTACCGTAATGAATTTTACACATAATACACAAATTCATAAATTATAAATCATATGGGGCTCGTGTCAATAATTCACGTGCCCTGGGTTTGTGAGGTACTTGACAGATTGTGCCACATTTATGTAGACTCAGGGCGAATTAAGTAGATTAGGTTTTAAATACAGATTATTTAGAGGCAGTGTAATGATCCTCCATATAATGTTACACCTAATAACTCCTGTTGTTGTTGTTTTTCTATAGAGTCTTCAATGTCAGCCCTTCAGGCTCAGCATTGCTGCTAGACTTCATCCTCACACAACACTACTGTACCAAGACAAGCTTGGTGTGAAAAGCTTTATTGACTTCTATGGTGGTGTGGCAGGAGTACACAACTCAGGAAGATGGCATCACCTTTTGTGCCTGTTCCTGTGCCCATGGACAGAGCCTTGTCCCGTGGTAGCAACAAGCTGAGACGGGCGCAGCGAGCTTCATCGCTAGGAAGTGTCTCCAGCAGCTCAGAGTCTTCGTCTTCAATCGCCAGGATGGCTGGGGAGGAACATGGGGGAGTCGGATGCAGAGAATTAGATTCCCAACATCAGTCTCGCTGTGCGGACAGGGGTGGCCGCAGCCGAACGCCCCCACCCCTTCAGAGCCCTGTGACACGGGCTAAGTTGAACGGGACTCTGGAACCATCTGTCGAATACTCGAGCTGTCCGCGGTCTATATCGGATCCTAGTGGTAGCCAGCAAGCTGAGGAGAGGCCTATCACCCCCACTGTGCTGGGGTATGAGGTCATGGAGGAGAGGGCCAAGTTCACGGTAGGAATCCAGAAAATTAGTTAGCATGGCAACCGCTGTCTGTGCTACATTTAGTCTGTATTTATTAGTGACTAAACACTAAAGCAAACATGGTGAGCAGTTATTAACATCTGCCTTCTCTACTGCAGGTGTATAAGATCCTGGTGAGAAAGACTCTAGATGAGAGCTGGGTTGTTTTCAGAAGATACGCTGACTTCTCAAGACTCAATGACAAGGTGTGTTTGGGTGTGTTGTCTGTGCATGGGATTAAATGAGCCGTCCCAAACTGGAAAACTACATGAGGGTAAACCTTATTATAATCCTGCCACAACTGAAGCAACTGGTTTCGACTATCAATCCCTCTGCTTTCAGCAAGCTTTCTTTAGTTGTTGAATGCTCAGTGAACATGATTCGAGCTACACAAAGAAGCCTACTGTTCCCAAACAGCCAGCGGGCCTGAGCCAACTAGGAGCTCTGGTCTCTTGTGGTTTTCAGAGTATATAATCACAGTTAACAGAGGAGACATACTATTATATGAGAATACTATATGGATGGAGAAATCATGTAAAAGGTGTAAGGTTTGAAGAATTTAAGCCTATTAAAAGCAGCTCACAGTAATCATCAGTGGATGTCTCATTGAGAACATGTTTGTATCAATGAGACTGATCACAGTTTGGAAATCTGTCAGTATGAAGTGTGTTTTGATTATTCTGTTAGGATTTAATTTTTTAGCTCTACCTTGGAAAGGTTACAGGGATGAGAGTACTTGGCTGCCGTGAGTGAACGCTTCAGAGGGACCAGCAAATACGAGGCAGAAATACCTAGCATGATCTGTATAGTATGGTTTGTATAATAGAGCACTGACTCTGTACAGGGTGGTTCATCACAAACATTATTTTGAGGTTCAGACCTCAGTCAGCATCGCTTCACTGTGAAGTTTAATTGCATGGTGAAAGCAGACAGGTTTGCATACATGTTTACACACCCCAGGCCACCTCCCTCTGAGTAAATTGACACTGGGACCACATATTCAAATTCAAATTCAAATTTTATTTGTCACACACACACCCCCATGTCATACACAGTATGACATGGGGGTGAAATGCTTGTAGCTGTACAATGCCCGACCATTAAATGACAGAAGAAAAGTTTTACAATATTTACAATTTACTACAAAAATTTACAAATTAACTTAGGAATTTACAGTAAAGAATGTGCAAATAGCAGAAGAGATTATAAAGATAAGGATTATAAATTATAGGAATTATAGGATTATAGGAAATGTGTGGTGGTGCGTGTGGTGACGTGTGTGAGAGTCCAGTCTTATAGTGACGTGTTTGGGAGAGTCCAGTCCTACACCTGGTTCAGGGCCCGAATAGCCTGGGGGAAGAAGCTCCTCCTCATTCTCTCTGTTTTGGCCTTAAGGGAGCGGAAGCGCTTCCCAGACCTCAACAGTGAGAAGAGTCCATTGTTGGGATGGGAGAGGTCCATCATAATCTTCCTAGCTTTGGACTTGCACCGCTTGGTGTAGATGGACAGCAGGTCAGGGAGCTCTGATTGAATGATGCGTTCTGCCGAGCGCACCGCTCTTTGCAGATCTCGTCTGTCCTGCTTGGTGCTGTTCCCAAACCAGGTGCAGATGTTTGACGTCAGGACGCTCTCGATGGTGCAGGAGTAGAAGTTCTTGAGCACCTTCAGTGGCAGATGGAAGTCTCTAAGTCTTCTGAGGAAGAAGAGACGCTGACGGGCTTTCTTAACCAGGGTGTTGATGTGGCAGGACCATGACAGGTCCTGAGTGATGTGGACACCCAGGTATCGGAAACTGTCCACTCTCTCCACTGGCGTGCCACTGATGATGAGGGGTTTGTAATTCCTCGCCTGCTTTGTAGTGAAGTCCACGATCAGCTCCTTAGTCTTGCTGATCTTTAGGAGGAGGTTATTCTCCTGACACCAGGTCTCCAGGTTCCTAATCTCCTCCAGGTAGGAGGAGGAGGAGGACATATTAACATATTAACACATATTAACACAATGTCTCCTAAACCTCTCTACATACAGTCAAAAATATCACCAGACTTGTCCTAAATGTTGAATGCTCTTTGACTTCAATAGAGGGACTTTAGCACGATACAGTGAGGTTGTATGTTTATTCAGCAGAAACATTTGGCAACATGTTGTCATTTTTCTTGAAATCAATAGGCAGAACCTTTTATAGAAACCGTTCTATGCTCCAAAGAAAGTAGGCAGTCCTAGGTGACAGTGAGGATCTCAGGCTACGTCCACACTAATGCATCGTTTTCTCTCCATTTTGGCCTCCCGTCCACACTGAGGCAGCGTTTTCAAAACGCTCTCGAGAACGCATACATTTCAAAACAGTGTTTTCGCATCGCAGTGTTGACAGCAAAAACGGAGACGCATCTTAGTCATATGATGCAGTCATGTGACCAATTAAACAAAGAGTTCTAAACAAATGTCTGTCCTCCTCCAGAAAATCTTATGTACGCAAACGCACGTTGTAACTTATCTGGTTCGCGTCTTTTATTTTGACAGCGCACCTGCGGACCACTTATGTGCACCCCTGATTATACAGCAGTTGTTTTGTTTGCTCTCAATTTTGACAGCCCTATTAAAGATATATAAAGATATATCCAGATAGCTTTTTCAAATTCTTTAATTCTCACTCGCTTTTGCAACTTTGTACTTTTGTGTTACTCGCAGCAACAACTCCACTTCATTGTTAGTCCATTTAAAAAACTCGGTGCTTTTTCTCAACATTTTGGTGCAACTTTTCAAAGAGCCGGAAAGTAAATAAACAGCTGACAGAAATGAGGCCGGTCGAATCTTCTAGCCTCAGAAATACCAACCTGGCAACATGTATGGGAAACACCTTGCGTAACCACAGCAAAACCCATGTGCTTTCTATTTGTATACTAATGTTTCAGACAGTCACACTTGTATACATACCTATTGTGTCCAGGCTATATTAAACCTCACACAACAAGTTTTCATGTAAAACTCTTCCAGCCTCCTACTCACTATGCAGCTATGAACATTTTACAAACAGTCTGGTTTTGCATGTAAACACTTTGCATATATCCTATCAAAGCTTAAGCTCAGAATGAAGCTGGAATAATAGGTTTATTAATAGAGGTACGTCTCACCACCCGTGACCATGGGAACAGTTTGTGAGGAAAGCATTTCTGCTGAATGAAGCCAAGTTTACTACAAGAAAGAATTCATGTTGGATTTAACACAGTGCTAAGTAACACATTAAGAAATGTGTAGTTGCACCAAAAATGCATGAAGTCTGTAATATGACACCAGCATAGCGCAGAACACTAATCTGGACTTTCACCTGTGTGATTAAAAAAGCTCATGAGATTTAAAGCTCATTTTGAAATTTTTATTTATTTATTTTTTTAAGTGTTTTTGGATGTATGGTTGTATCTTGAATGCACGTGAAATAAAAATGTGACAATCTGATGACAGACTATTATGAAAGACATTTTTGATTATGACATTTCTGTGATTTGGTTATTTAGTAAGGTATATAGATCAGAAAGCAGACCTGTGCTCTTTTGTTTGGATGCAGGTTTGATCCGAGCACAAAATCTAGACGAAGAGTGTGTTTGCTTTGTGGGCTGGAAGCGTTTTTCTTGGCCCGCCACCAACTTTATTACTTTTATCTCTGCATGATGTCTACACGGCCCTTACATGACTGTCTTTGCCCCTACAGCCTGTAGCTGAATGTAAGGGCAATCATTCACTGTGTGTGTCTGTGTGTATTTGTTCCAGCTGAAGGAGACGTTTCCAGGCTTCCGCCTCTCACTGCCTCCTAAGCGCTGGTTCAAAGACAACTATGACAGCAACTTCCTGGAAGACAGACAGTTAGGACTGCAAGCTTTTTTGCAAAACTTGGTTGCACACAAGGACATCGCCAACTGGTATGAGCCTATTATGTTTAATAATAAAAATGTTACTGGGCCATATTTTATGTCATGCTGGGTCATTATTGCAGACAAACCTTGCCGTAACTCTTAGTTTGTGTTGGCTGCATCAGAGCAATGTGGAAAATACATGCATAGCTAAAAAGATAACTGATATCAGTGTGAGCTGACCCGTTTTCTAATCTTTCTAATCTTACATCATTTATTGCTCTTGACAGCCTGCCGGTGAGAGAGTTTCTGTGTCTCGATGATCCACCTGGGCCTTTTGACAGTCTGGAGGAGAGCAGGGTGAGTGTGCATTTAGAGTATGTGTAAGTTGGATGCTGAAGCTTTTGAGCATCAGGTACTTCTACTACTCCTCCACATCTTGTCCCAGGATAGACACAGGACATGTAGCTGTCCTCTGCCTTTTAAGTTAATCATTACCTCTGGTGTTATTCAAATTTAGAAGGACGGGATTCCTCCCAGTTGAATCAGTGCATTCTTAGTTTTAAAGCTGTTTTGCAATTTGTTTATCCCTGCCATTAAGGAATATATTAAGGAAAACTACATCTGGCAACTGAAAATCTCATATGAAAGAACCGGAAAGCAGCTAACAGACTGAGCACTGTTCTTGGACTTTGCAGCAAACAGAGCCAACATGGAAAGTTATGGAAAGGAAACCCTTAATCTCATTACAAAAGACAGTGCAGTGAGATGTCAGGTGCCTAAACCATGATGGTATATGTCGTCTAGAGATGGCACGATACCACTTTTTTTATGTCCGATACCGGTATCATAAATTTGGATATCTGCCGATACGATATGAATCCGATATAGTGTGTTTTTTTTGTTTTTGTTTTTTTATTATCTTGCTGCATTTTTTTATAAGTTCAAACTCAAGTTTAAAAAAAACCAAAACACTAAAGCTATTCTGTTATACCTGTATGTAAAAAAAAAAAAAAAA